TGCTTGTCCAACTTTGAGTGCACATCGCCGCCAAGATGAAAGTCTGCTGCTGCATGTGCATAGGAAGCACTTAAGTGGTGAGAATAGAGGTAGCATCAAGTAGCAGCACATAATAGCCTTAGGAAGAAAACGTCGGGTAGGATCTTCATTTAGCGACACTTCCTGGAACCTCGAGGTGCTCGAGCTGATGCTTTCCCAGGGCTGCTCACTACTTCATAACTTCACCCTCTCCATCGACCAGATCCTGGGCGTGCCCTACTGTGAGGGGCAGCCAACCTTATTCCAACCCTTGGCCACCATCTGCCCTCAAAGCTGCGGTTGCACGGCCACGCCAACGCCCAGTCACTGTCCCAGTCGCTGCGCGAGCCGCTAGCGGAGCCGGATCCCAACGAACGGATCCGCACCAGTCACGCACCGGCCAAGTCGGGGGCGAAAGGAAGTTCCGGAGAGATGCTCTTGAGAAAGCATTCAAATCACGAAAGGTAGCTTGAGCTACCTGAGTTCTCCTTGCTTTAGCAAGAATGTATTACAATCAGGAGTTGGGATTGTGCATTGAGTTTGGTCCTGTAAGAGTTGATTCTGTTCGTCGGGGGCCCCCCCCGGATCAAATCCCCCCTGCGCCGGTTCACGCTGTCATGGACTTCTACCAGGGTTACTTGTGATTGCCTGCTACCTTTCGTTCACCCCCTCCTCTCTCAAGTGCTATGAATCAATTTCCGTGATGTCTCGCCTCACTGTTGATAAGTGCACTTGCCTCCCTGAGAATCAGAACGAACCACAAGGCCAGAAAAGACAGATAGCAATTACCCAGAAAGTCCAGGTTTCACCGAATTTGGGAATGACTGGACCAAAAGATGTTGGAAGATCCATCAACCACTGGGACTGATCCTGGCCTTTCAACCCTACATGCCATGACCCATGACCCACTGTGATTTCTGTCCATTTCGTGACGACGCGTGATCCACTTGCAGGAGGGTGACTTGCCTCTCCATGAGGCCGCCAGACAGGGGCAACTCACCACCACCCAAGAGCTCTTGAGGCGAACGAGCGGCGCTGGGCGGAGCGCATGCGCGTTGGTTTGTGAGGGGAAGCTGGATCAGCGACTGATGGTGGTTTCACATGGTTTCACCATACTGGAACTCCAGGAAAATGCCAGAGGAGGGGAAGGTATGTTTCGCCAAAGGCTTCGTGCTCAAATCACCAAGCTCAGAGATTCCACACGACGGCCGGCTCGTGGTGGGGCCCCCTAAACGGGCCCCCCTAAACGGGCGGTGAGACGGTCGTAGCTGGACGGCATCAGACAGGGGGCATGGGCATCCCAGTGAAACCTGAAAGCTTTGGAGTTGTGGAGCTGGGAATGGTTCGCCCATGATCATGGTTCGCCCATCTGGATGGAAGCAAAATGGAGCTGTGGAGTTCACCCCGTGTTTGTAGCCATGCCCATCCACGTAACCAAAAAGAGTTCCAGGGAGTGCTGGTATCATCTCAGAGTCCCATCCGTTGACCGCCATACCCGAATCCCCGTCACTTTAGAAGGAATCTGCCCAGGGCTTGGAGGTTCAAGGGTCAAAAAAATCTTTCTTTGACTGAGACGTAACTTTGGATGACCCTTCTGATAAGAAGGACGTTTCTGGGACCGGAACCCATTCATGGAGGCCATTCTCATCGCTTGGAACCGAGCATTCCTTGGGAATTCAAGTCGTCGAAAGCGCGGTGAGGGCGCGATCTCCGGTGGATGCCACGAACGTGTCGGGGAAGACACCGCTGCATGTGGCCTGTGCCTGGGGGCAAGAGCCCGTGGTGGAGGCGGATGGGTAGAGTCATGTGGTGTTCCAGCCATCCAAGGATGTACGGTGCTCCTGAAGACACCAAGTATGGTTTCAGGTTTCGAGAACAGAACACCGTGTCCCTGCAGATCTTATGCCCAACTTTGGATATTCATGGATATTCACTCACCACAGTCCACGGTGTATACCAAATATACGACAACAACAATTATGAGAGGACTCTTGATCGCTCAGTGTTGGGTACGTGGCAGACGTCCTCATCAAACTGAAACTCAGAGGAGGGGCCTCTGAATTTGATCACAATTGTTTCTCTACAGAGGAGTTCTGCACAGCTTTCATAATGATTGTTTGAGAGAGCATGGAGAGGCCCTCTGTGGGTGTCGCAAAAAACGGGTGCACCAGCAGCTTTGAGTTGGCAGACAGGAAAAGCTTCACCCTTGCTGAACTGGGTTTCGGCTAGCGTGGCTGCAGTGGAAGGAACAGGGCTTTTGGGGATGCCTCTTTTCAAACAGTGGAACACCTTTTCCCTGCCCTGACCTTTGTTTCACAGCTATGTGGCTATGTGCCACTAAAAGAAAGCAAATCGATTGGAAGGGGGGCGGCCCAGAAGAGAATTGGATGATGCCAACGGAGCGCCACGCTTGTCATCCGCGCCATTGGTGGATGTCATCCGACGTTCGGATGTCATGCGTAGCCAGGACATGTGAATAACTGACTTCCTATCCGGGATTTGGTGAAACCCACTAAAACGTCAACAGGTTGAACAAGATTAACGTTTATTCTCCAGGGACACTTATGGAGTCAGTGTGCCAGGGATTAACCGGAACAATCGCAGAATGGACACAGGGCAATAATTGTACTTATATAAATATGCATGCTGTGCCTAAGGTATGTAAAAAAATATATGGTATATATGGGGTATACAAGAGGGTCAAATTAAGGGCCCATATCAATGGTCCATGGTTTTCTTCTTTGACTTTGGGTTCTTCTACCCAAACCCTGGTGAAGGCCGGGATAACAGCCGCTCCCCAGCAGGTCTTGTTGCAGTACTCTGCCTCCATCCATGCCGCGGACCAGTGCGGGGGCCTCAAGGGGCACTCGCCAGGTCGTGTCAGACAAAGCCCCGGCAGCCTAGCCTTGGACTGGACATGGAAAACTCTCTGTTGGCAGAACAGAATCTTCCCAGGGGTTGAACTTCAGGTTTGTGGGTTGGAGTGTACCCTTTGACTCACTAACATTGGAAGTGGAAAACCATTTGTTCGTAGTGAAACATTGTCTTTCCAGTAGCCATTTTCCACTTTCTTGGGTTGGAGTGTACCTGCTACCCTGGTCGTGCGCAGTGTGGGAATGACGAGACGCGGGTCTTAGGTCTCATGGTTTCCCCGTCCTATCAAATCACCAAGGTGAGTTCAAAAGCCAGCACGTGCCTGACCTGGGAGGCTTCCTCAACTAGTCATGGACTCACAGGGAACTCAAACTTGCAGACTTCCTCAAAGGATGTCTGAACTGCCAAGGCTCTAGAAACCAACAAAATGATTCAAGTCTATGATCCACCTCCACCTCTAGAAACCAACAACATGATCTCTGATCCACTTTCCGGAGGATAACTGGAGAGAGGCGCGAGGGGACAATGAATCGGACAGACGTTTCTGTAAGTCGTCACTTAGCGACTCCCAGACTTCACGCTGCCAGGTGGAAACACTCCTTTGCACGAGGCGTGTCCGAGCCATTTCGGGTTCAGATGTGTTTGTTTTATGTTGTTTTGTTACAGGCAGTCTCCAAAAGAAAGGTGTCGGTTGGCTGGATGAGGAGGGTCTCTGTGATAAGATTCTAGAGCCTAGAGTTTTCAACCAGCGGTGTGCTGAGCAAGGGTTGCAGACATCTCATGCTCCCGAAGAGAAGGGTCTGGGAAAACCACACCATCCTCTACAAGTGAGCATTTCAGCGCATGGTCGTTGGTGTGTTGCTAATTTGTTTATCTCATTGGGTATATATATACAGTAAGTTTATAGAATAGGAAGTTGATTGGTTGGTTGGAAGCAGTATTCACTTGGTTTCTAGACAATGGCTCCTACGCCGTACGAAAATGCCAACTTCTCTGGTTGCATGCTGGTCAGACAGAGGGTAATGAGGTATCTTGACGACCTGAAACCTTATCCGCTGGTGGTACAATCATGGGAAACATGGAAGATCCACAAAAAGGGATCAGGTGCCTTTGGAAGATGAAGGTGTCACGGGCGTTCCTGCCTCCTCAAGCCACCCATGAAACAAAGGTGTCGGATGGCTACTCTTGCGACCATGCGCTTGTGGCTGTACACTATACAAACACATGGTTCAAAAGTCTTGAGTTGGTGAAAAGACATCAAGAAGGAGCCTGCTTGTCCACTGACAACAAGCAAGGAACATCCCAGCAAGGATATTCTAAGGTATGGCAAGAGATAGCACAGATAATGTTTTGTTAGTTTTGTTGAAGTCTTACTCCTCCAAGAAAAGCACCGCCAGCTTTGACACACACACACACACACAGAGCACAGTCATCATCATCATCATCGTCATCGTCATCGTCATCGTCATCGTCATCGTCATCGTCATCG